CCTGTGTAGCAAAGCAATTACATAATTAATGGTTACATTCAAACAGAATGGCTCAGGAGAGAAGAAAGAATTTTTAGGACAACTGTGTCAGACTGGAAAGGAAGTATGCATCAGTAATTCCCTTTCACATTTGATACTTCAGCTAGTATTAACTTAAAAGTCCAAATATAAGCCATTAAGCAAAGAAATGAACAAAATGAAGACCAACCTTGCAGGGACAGTGATGAACTGAGAATAAGGACATTTGGGTTCAATTCCGAACTCTTCCCTTGCCAGTATAGCTTTGGGCATTTTCTTTGTGGCTCCCTTCCTTATCTATTTAATAAGGGTATTAATACTAGATTAATTCTAATCTTTCCTGCATGCCTTTTGAAGGCCTCTTGAAGGCTTTTGTAGTAAAAACCACTACTTCTGGTATCTGTAAAACTCAGAAAAATAGAGGCCTGCTTTTTTTGAAGACACAAGAAGAATTAAAGGAGGGAATTGCCATCAGAGTTATGTTCTACCATGGGCCTGGTGAGAACTGCTGCTCAGTGTCAGTAATGTGGGGCTAGGCAATATGTAATGCTAAAGATGACCCTTCAGAAAGCTTCCAGTTAAAGGAATGACTTGTGAGAGACAATAAATATTGGGACAGCTATAAAAGATCTAGTGAAAAAAATCACAACAAAATACTTTCCTGCTGAAAAAAAAAAAAAAAGTTGCAAAATTTCACTGAGAAAAACCGAAAAACATATATCAGTACAATTTCTTGTAACAAATGGAAGTCTGATTTAAAATGTCAAAATGAAATCTTGTGTCATTCTGACATCAGCATTTCCAAACATACTGATTTTTAGAACTTCTCATTTTTTTAAAAAATTCAATTTTTTTGATCCTGGTTTATGTAAAACACAGATGCTGATCTGTAGAAATTACTTGACCAAGAAACATTTTTTTTCTGTGGACATTTACAACTTAAATGACAAAACTTCAAGTTTCATTTGGGATTTGTTTTGGGATTTTTTCAGGCCTTTCAAAAATTAGGTTTCTGCTGGACCTTGAATGAAGACAGCTCAAGGCATTCAGGAATAGAGGGAATACTTATGTGCCACATTTTTCTTGACTGGAAATAGTTACTGCAGGTGTGGGAAATATTTCCACTGCTCAGTATAACTTCCCTGACAATGCGGATGGTTCAAGCTTTAATTCATACTGTTTATCTAATGAAATAGTCCAATGGACTGAAATGAAATACAGGTGTTCTCAGCATCAAACCTTTACTATAAGTATCTTAAAATAAAAGGAATTTCTTAATTTTACTTGTTTTAGAATTGACAGAGAAAGCCAAATGCAGCTGTTGTGCACGTTTTTAAATTATTTAAAATGTCACTAAAGTGTCTTAAGTCACAGGAAATCATGGGCAGTAATGTATTCTAAAGAAAATTAACATCCTGCATCATGTAAACCCTCCTCTCTCAAAATACTCTTTAGAAAAGAATCATGATGTATATTACAGGGATAAAATTAAAAAATGAACCCATTACTGCATTAGTGTACTGGATACATATTAAGCTGCTATGCTTGTTTTTTAAATATTTTTCCTTCTACCATAATGCATAACCTTGTGGAATAAAAAATCCTATGCAAAAATGAACTATTCTTTACAAATGACAATTTATTAAATATTGCCTGTTATGTAATATATATCCTAATAATATAGACATTTATAAGCATGCAAAATTGCGCAGAGAAATGAAACCCAGATGATTTTATCCTTCCTATTTCAATATATATCTATATTCTGTAAGAAGTTTACTATAATTATGATTTAATATTATGTTTCTATACTGTAAAGATAAATGTTCCTGGATCAACTAAAGAGCTAAACATCATGTATTAACTAAAAAACGAACATATTTAATGTAGCAAAAAGCTGGGTAAGTATCCTTGAACCTAATAATAAAGAGTATTTTGTAATATCAGTGATGTTTCAAACGAACCCAGGATGGGTTCCTGGAAAAATTGACAATACCCAGTAGCAATGTTAATACTGTCAGAAAAATAATAAGGCAATGAATGTTTCCAATAAGAATACACTTTGCTTCATTTTGGAGGCCACTAATAAAGGTAAATTTTTGCATACTCTGATAAATTTTCTCTAACAATGTATCTGTACAGTTACATGATCTTTAAGAATGTAATTAACCTATTTTTCTTGCTCTAATTACAAGGCAAAAGATTTGCATAGGTAAAAAGAAAAATGATTTTGTTTAGAGGGAAAATCCAAATTATGCCTGAAGCCTAACAAATCTGTTGCCATGACAATCAAAGAGCCTGGTCTTACAAAACCTTTTAGAATTTATCCACATGAGTAGTTCTTACTCACTGTGCTAGTTCTGACCTCTCCCATCCTGAGTGACCACCATAAGAGATAGAGCCCAAAGTCATGGGCTAAATGAACTCAACAGAGATTTTGTGGACATTTCTGGATATTTTACAAGGGTGGTCCATGGACTAAGGGAGTGATATCTGCATGTTACATATAAAGATGGGAAGGGGGTTGGTTAATGAGGATGTATTGAATAGTGTGGTACCTGAGCATGATGTAAATGGTGTAGAATAAGGAAGAGAGAATGTGCTGGGTTTATCTGGAAGAGAGTTGGTTTTCTTTCTAGTAATTTGTTTGAGGTTATGTTTGGTGCTAGAAGCATACTCATAATATAAAGATGTTTTAGCTCTTGCTGAGCAGAGCTTCTACAGTTCCAAGGCTGGGGCTGCACAAGGAATTGGGAAGGAACACAGCTGGTAGAGATGGGCCCAACTGACCCAAGGGATATTCTGTACTATATGGTGTCATATAAAACACGTAAAACAGTATATAAAACAGGGAAAAGACAAAGGAAAAGGGGAGAAGGAATGTTCAAAATTATAGCATTTGTCCTCGCAAGTAACCATTAGACACAGTGGAGCCTGGCTCTCCCAGAGATGACTGAACCATGGGAAGTGGTGAATGAATTCCTTGTTTTGCTTTGCTTGAGTGTGCGTGGCCTTTGCTTTGTCTCACCCATGAGTTTTCTCACTTGTACTTTTCTGGTTCTCTCTCCTATCTGGCCAGGGGGGAATGAGCAAGCAGCCCTGCAGTGTTTAGCTTCCAGCTGGGATTAAACACAATATTCATACAAGTTGTTCCACTGATTGGCATAGAACTGCTGATGTGAGGACAGGTTTGCAATGGGCAACTTGAATTTAGGATGCAGTCCTTGTTCACATTGAGAGTTGAGGAGATGACTTCTGCAAGTAAGGGATTCTTTCTGACAGTGAAGATGACATTTGTGGGTTGTGTTCTTCCTCAGTTTTGCTTATTGGTTCTTACAGTAGTCACACATTTTAGATAGAGAAATACACAAAAATTCTGCTTCAATGCACAAGTATATGTGATTTGAACCTTTACTCCTAAAGTCAAGGCTGATTCCTCTGAACCCTGTTGAAATATTGTCACACTACAATGTGTTTTTTCCTCTGCGCTTCCTCCTGCTGCAGTGATTTGAAGAAGTTGCATTGCCGTTCTCTCTTTTAAAACTGCCTTATGGAGTCCTCCATCATACAAGGAGGAGATTTATTGGGAACTATTACAAAATTACATCTTTTGAATCGTATTTAAGCTCTGATTCTTGTTCTTGAGTCCAGCTGTGGCCTGGCTTTTGTATTTTTGGCTTTATTTATCCTTCCCATCCTGAAAACCTGCTGCCAGGAACCTGTCCTCTCCATACCCTGCTGCACAGTCCATGGCAGCTGTCACACAAACCTGCTCCTGATCTTTTTCCAGCTCCATCAAAAGCAGTCAGATTTCTAAGGGCTTCCCCTCAGAGTGGAGACAGGCCCTTACCACAGTTTACTCAAGAACCACTCAACTTTCCAAACTCAGTGATCAACCAGGATGCATAAGAAAATACATGTTTCACATTACCACTATATCACCTTTTAGTTCTCCCTAATTTCTAAAACAGAGATCCAAATAAACAGCCTTCCTGGAAAAGAAATCTGCTCTTCCATCCCAGTTTATTAATTGTACAATTCCTGATCTGCTAGGCAATTTCTTGACAATGACTCTAAGTATTTGTAAGTCAGGTAGTTACACCTCCTTGCACTCCCCTAGCACCTTTCATCCAGGAAGACAAAACCACGTTACAGCTATTAACAAAAAATACCTTCCAATGCCCACTGAAGGTATTTCAAATAATTCTCAACACTCCTCTAATACACAGCAAAAGTTACTTGATGTGAGAACATCCCATACTGGATTTGTTTATTTTATGACCTGGGTAATAATTCACATTTTCGGCTTCCTGACTTGCGTAAGAGGATCTCTCTCCCACTGTTTCTGAAACACAGCATCCAAGTCTGCACTTGGTAGTTTCCCATGGAAACAAAATAGAATAAATCTTTTGTACCTGCCAGTATTGCAGACATTCAAAACCCTTCTGTAGCTTTCATTTACTAAAATAATATTACTCATTCTTGCATGATATAGGATTTCTTTTAACTCCCATTTTTGCCTTCTAGTGGTCAGTGCATGACTGAGGTGCAGGGAAGGTACAGAACTATGACCCCAGAGAAACAGACAGAGCAAGAGAAGGAGGAGGCAGGAGGAGGGGAATGGAGGGAAGGAGGCAGGGAAAAAGAGAGAGAAATGTCAAAGCCAATTCCTAAACATCCTCCTTAGCATGGAAATATGTACAGTGCAGCTGCAGATGTTCCAGTCCAAGTGCAAATGACAGCACAGGTGTGCACAGACACACACACACACATACACACTGTCACAAAGCAAGGGAGAAAAACAGAAATGATCTTACAAAGCTGCTGCAGTAATCAGGACACTTGCTCCTGAAAACAACCATGCAAGCAAACATTCTTTTGTTACGTTTCTACATTTTTTTCAATTTTCATTTCACTATTGCTATTTTTTTATACCTCTGACCACATAATATAGTTATTAAAAGACAGGAAAAAGGCCTTACCATGCAGTGCATCAGGAAGAGATGAGAAGCACAGAGCATGCTGCAGAGATTAAGCTCAGCATGGCATTCAGATATCCTTTGGAATTGAAGAAAATTGTCCAACCCATTCTTCCTAACAAAGCGGAGAAGTTTTCTCTAGGCTTGAATTTTTCACCAGAAGACAGATCCTTACAGTGCATTATATTTTCTTCTTCAGGAGATATATTTCCTCCAGTTAAGTTTCAGCTCCGCAATGCCATTTCCAATCAGCTCTAAGAAGTTCTTCATTCCCAGATTCGCGGTGTCATCAGAGGGACTCCAAAGAAAATCAAAGAAAGAAAGAAAGAAAAAAAGAAAATAATACCTTACCAAAATCCTGAAATTACTACACTGAAAAGGAGAAGATATAAAAATCCCACAACACCCCCTGATTTACTCTATTATCTAGGTGTTTCACAACAATCAGTACTACCTCTTTGGTCTCATATATGCAGTGCTGATCATCTGTAACAAAGGAAGAAGCAAAAACTTTCCCAATTTACACATGATGCATTTTCATTGCTGCTGCTCAACTGTGTACTACCAAACAACCCTTTTCATCCTGAGGCATCTTTAAAACCATCTGACAAAAACAACAGCTATCCCTTTCCCTTCCCAAAGAACACGAATATTAGAATTTCTAGAAAAGTGTTGAAGAAAATCTGACAAATAACCAAAAAATACAGATCAGACTCCAAAAGCAAAAGCCTTGAAGCAGGAGGTTTCTTGAGCAACAAGATAGTCTGCCTGAAGAATCTGGGGACACACGCATTAAGCACCCCAGGGAAGGAGAAAAGGGAAAAGAACGGGGTGTTTGGAGAAGATGGGGTGGGACCAAATGGGTCTCAGGCAGGAGTGGGATCCTGAGTCACCCTCAGCCTCCTGCCTGCTGGCTGACAGCAGCTCGGGCTTTCCCTGCACTTTCTGCAAAGCATATTAATTGATTCTGGTTGCTGAGCAACTAACTCTGGGGAGCCACATCGAGGGCTCCAGCTCCAGCCCAGCTCCAGCAGCAGCAGCAGCAGCAAGAGGGGATGGGTCTCCCCTGCCTCTCCTCTCCTCTCCTCTCCTCTCCTCTCCTCTCCTCTCCTCTCCTCTCCTCTCCTCTCCTCTCCTCTCCTCTCCTCTCCTCTCCTCCCTCCGGAATCTGTCACCCCACCTGGCTGTCCTTAGCTGCCCTGCAGGGAAGCTGTGCAAGGCAGAAGCCTGAGCAGGGCAGCAGGGAGGAGCTGGGGTGCCCCCCAGCCTGTGCTGCCCTGGCAGGACTCAGGAGAGCAGCCTGACCTCACCCTGACAGCCATGCCCCTCTGCCACCCTGCCTGGGAGCCTGGGCCAGTGGGGCTGCTAGCCCGAGAAACCCAACCAGCTGTGTTGACAGGTAGGTGAATCAGGGTGGTGCAGCCACCTTCTGAAAAGCAAAAATCATCTCAAAGAGGTTAAAATGACAAGAAAGTTCCACGGTTATCATAGAAACATAGAATATCCTGAATAGGAGGGGACCCATAGGGATCATCCAAGTCCAACTCCTGGTCCTGAACAGGACATCCTCAAGAATCCCACCATGTGCCTGAGAACCTTGTCCAAATGCTTCTTGAACTCTGTCAGGCTGATGCTGTGACCACTCTTCTGGGGATCCTGTTCCAGTACCCAACCACCCTCTGGGTGAAGAACTTCATCCTAATATCCAATCCAAAGCTCCTCTGACACAGCTTCATGTCATTTGCTCCGCTTTTATGTGAGTTTCTAGTTGAACACGTGGCCACTTAAGCTCTGTCCCTGCAGTAACAGCAACTATTGCTTGTTCCTGATCTCTTTATCATATTGAACTTCAGACAGAGAAGACACTTGTCTGGCTGAAAGGGTGCACTCTAAACCAGAACCACCATGCAGAGGAATTGCCTAGGCATCTTTGGTGTTTTTGATACAAAAAGGATGCCTCTGACAAAACCTTATAATTGCTTTAACTGATACATTTGAGTTCCATGGAAGAGCGAAGCAGCAAAGAGGCCATTTAGTTTTGGTCCACAAAAGAGATGGGATAAGTGAATAACTGGAGCTGGTTCAAAGGGGTTTCTCCTGAAGTGTCTCTACTGATGGCCCAGGAGGAGCAACACAGGATTTCTGCAAGGTTGATGCCAAGGGAATGAACCCTGCAATTTGTGGCAGGGCTTCCACTGACTTCTGTGTCTCTAGAGTCTGAAAGAACTCCCCAAAACACCACAGCATCTGAAAGAGGACATTTCCCTTGTGGTGTATAAATCCTTAGTCAGATCATGGCATTTGTTCAGCACTGACTAAGCTGTCTTTCTGTTGCACAGGTAAGATGTAAGAAATGAAAAGACCTCAAGGTTTCTCTCCCTGTGACCTGGCAGAAAGTACAACACTAGATCTTGGCCAAACTGCTCACGCACGATTACTGTCAAAGATCTGAGCCAGGTCGGCTCTTTATTCAGTTATGGTGATAGGATAAGTTAAAGGGTAAAGCCCTGAGAACTGCCTTAGCTTGCAGTCACGGAGCAGAATTATTGAATTCTCCCCTTGAAAAACTCCAACCTGTATCTAGTAAGCCCTATCTAAGTGGCAAACAGCAGGTCTTTGTGAAAAGGGACAGGTTATCTTAAAGAAGAGAGTTACTTTTCTGACAACAGCTTAGCTGCACCACACTGCTTTCATGCTTTATAAAGAAAGATCTACAGTTTAGCCTCATTTTCTTAGCAAAGCCAGATGCTCACATATCTTCAGAGCTCAGGAAACCATGAGATCCTGTTAGCAAAACTGCTGTATGAAGCAGATTACAGAATATATTCAGTTCATCCAATATGTTTATTGATATGAGCATATACTGGGAATTCTTTATTCCCCAACTACAACATCCAGAGAAATATGGGAACATTTATACTAAGGGAACAAAGAGAGGTGGAGAGATTTCACAAATTCTTGCAAAGGAATTATTAAGTCTATATGAAAGGATTTCACCAAGCACATAGTAAAGAAACATTTCTTTCAGCATGATAAGTTGTTCTGGTTTTATCTTTCCACTATTACTTCTTTATATTCATGCTGGTGCCTGTTTTTATCCCCAACAGTACAATCTTTAAAAGTGTGACAACAAAGTATTAATATTTTAATGTGCTTTGTTTTGTACCTTATTTTTTACAAGGCAGAATACCAAACAGTGTTGAAGTTCTTTGTAGTGGAGAAAATATCTTTAGAAATTTTAGGGAAGGGCAGTTTGAAGGGCAAAACAATAAAACAAAACAACCATAGAAAGAAAGAAAGTCAACAACAGGTGATTTCAAAATGAAAGCACACTAGTGTGTAAGAAGGAGCTATCAGATTATTTAAAAAAATTAGAAGAGGTAGGTTTGGAGATGTCAACATTTGTGCAACTTTTTAGTTTACTTTTTTAGAGAATGCAAGGCTGCTTAGATAAAATTCAGTATCTTACAGAAAGCAAGTACAGTATCCCTCTTTCACTTACACAAGACTTGAATTTAATCTCATAAAAATGCTTTTTATTATTCATTGAAAAGGCTGACTAATGCATATGTTCTACTCCTATTCCATTTTTTATGTGTCTTTTCTCTTCTCACCTTTATATCCTTTCAATAGCAACATTATCCTCTTTGTGAAAATAGGTGTCCTGTGAGCCTAAGGACCAGAGCAAGCTGGGACTGAGTCAGCCCTCATTTCCTGAGGGAATGGTACAGCTGGTGTCCCATCAAAATCTCCATGGCAAAGTCTTTGATCCAGACAGGACCCCTCCTGCAGGACCCTGGGCACCAAAGTAGCAGGGACATGAAACAAGCCATGGCACCGGGTTGGGCAGAGCCCATTTCTGAGCTTAGACTCTACTGCCAGGACCTGATAGTGAGAGAAAGTCCCCAGGGAGACAAATGGGAAGAAAAAGACACTTCTGGTGATATGTTCTAGTCCTGTTCTAGTCCAGAGTGTAGGTAAGGGCCAAGTGGAAGGGTGGCATTTGGAAAAGGCAAGGGAGTGCTGCAGCAAGCACAGCGTGGTGGCTGAGGCCAGGGAAACAGGGAAGCTCCTTTCTCTGGAGGGAGTGGAGCCTGTGCTGCAGGGACAGAGGGCACTCAGGGTGATGGGCTCCTTACTGTGCTGGGTAATTACTCTCCTCTGCCCTGAATGACAGCAGAGGCCCCTGGCAGCTCGGGAGATGGGGTCACAGACTGTCAGACATTGAAGAATTTGAAACAGAAAAATCTCTGGGGAATTCTCCCTGCAAGCCAGGAGCAGGGAAGACCAGAGAGCTGGAAGCCGAGGTGCACCAGCCTTGCTCTTTGTGTGCTCAGAATGCTTCTGCAGTGCCTGTCAGCAGCAGGTGCCTTCCACAGCACAGTGCAGAGGCCACCAAGTGACACAGAGAACCTCCCTCCTCCCAGCTGACCCTGCTGCCTGACACAGCATGGTCCAGGCACTGAAAGCAGATGAAGCAGCTTGCTTCCCAAAACATTAGCCTTCCTCACAACCATAGCTTAATCCTATAAAGATCATAATTTTATTCCTGGCATGCCACACCTTTCCAGAATCTGTGATTTGAGAAGTGAATTCGATTTTTAAATGCAGTATTGTATGTAAAAGATACAGTGATTTTAACAGAAATACAAAGATGTGCCCAGATAATGAAAATTATTTAACATATGAAAAAATGGTATAATTCAATTAGTAACTAAATTTTGATTAAAAACTGGTGAAAATTATTTACAAATAAGTGTTCTAGGCATGTTTCTCATTCTGACCTTTCAAGATCCTATGTCACATTTGCTATTCAGTCAATTACAGCACAAACAACTGAATTGATTTCTTGCCTTTTTAGTTTAAATGCCATAATACATGCAAGAGAGTCTGAGCTTCAGTGAGTGTATTTCCAGGTCATCAGCAATTAATTGAAAAATCTAACCATAAGAAATAGACCTTTATCAAAAAAAAAATCCAAAGCATCACAGAGGATGTACACATCTATCTGCAGAATATTTAGCATTCCTAAACCCCATTTTTAACATATTTTAAATATATTATTAGTTTAATAATTATTTTCCATATTCTATATGGCAGCTGGTCTCTTTCTTTTCTGTTTTCCATCAATGCAAATCAGACTAGGATACCATAGCTGTCAAAAACTTGCAACACTAAGAAAATGGTATGTGGTAAGTAAATGGTAAGTAAAGCCAGTAAAGTGAAAAACAGTTATGATTTTTTATTTTCTTTCTTTTTAAATAAATGCTGCTTTACTATGACTTAACTGCCAACTGA